TAAGCTTAAGCTTAACTAGAGAATAAATCTGAATGAGCACAGTGGGAATAAGCACAAGAATCTGGATAAGTTTGATTACACTGTTAAAAATCAACATGAAGCATTTTAAAAATGCCATGCCATTGTTTAAATGCACTAGCCTGCAAACCCGTTGACTTTCCCCACATATTTCTGCTGATTTTTCCCTACCCACTTGAATTCAAAGTAACCACCGACAATAGAAATTAAAAAATAAGTATAATACAAGTATATGCAACACTGCACACATCACACAGGCAAAATTGTTCAGAAGATTCAGTACAACGGCTGCTAAAATCACAGTGTGGAATATCATGAGCAGAACGGTGTGAAAACTTTCAGCATGCAATCAGCCCCTTGACAACTCAACATCATACACCAATAAACTCACTCTAACCCTAATCTTTAAAAATGTGAACGTCATAAATATCTAAAGATAAATAACAGAAAAACTTTCAGAGCTCTCTGACAATAACAATTTCCAATTCCATTCCAGCTATATACAGGTTTTTTTTTTTAATGTAAAAAATACACCACTACCATCTTTGGAATGGGGTGTCATTATAAGTAAGGCCAGCCTAATATTAGAAGAATAAGTCTCACTTGGTTTTTTTTTGCTTAAATTCATGAAAATTATTACAGGCACTCCTCAACTTACGTCCACAATTGAGCCCGAAATGTATTTCGCTAAGTGAGAAATTTGTTAAGTGAATATTGCCTCAGTTTATATCTTTTCTTGCCACATTTGTTAAATGAATCACTGCACTTGTTCAATTAGTAACATGGTTGTAAAGTAAATCATTATAAAATGAAAAATCTAAAAGCTATAGAAAATTTTTGACAAATAGGTAATAGTTATAAATAGCCCTGCACGATAAGGGTTTTTTTTCTTCTCTTCCTTACTCTGTTTTTAGCTGAACAATTTCATCTTCTGCTGCCAAAAGTGTAGTAGCTGATTTGGTCTTTGTGTCTTCAAGAGACAACTTGGCTTCTGCCAGACTGCAAGAGAATTTAATACCCAAAGATATATCTTTTAAATGTAAAGACACGGTTTTTTTCTCTAGTTTGAAAAAATATGATTCCCCACCACCACCAATGAAATAGGGAGCAGTGCCTTGAAGGCTGCCACTCCAATAAACCCCTTGTGAGAGATTTGAACAGGCTGTCTTAATAATATTAACAGGCAACGTGCTTTATCAAAATCAAAACAACTAGTACACAGAAGTAGCCATCAACCAAACCAAATCTACTTTCTGGGGAAACATCATAATATAACAATCGAATTTACCTTTAGTGATTGTTAAGTACATGCGAGCAAAATATATGAATGGCCCAGGCATGTGTAACTTAAATCAATGGTCACCAACTGGTATTCTGGGGACCACTGAGGGTCCACGAGAAAATTTTGGTGGTCTGCAGAAAAATTATTTGCATTTTTTTATATTGCACTAAATCGGGGGTCCTCAAACTACGGCCCCTGGGACGGATATGTGCGACGAACGCTTGTGTTGCTGCAGAGAGTCTCCTCCTTTGGGGTCTTTTTGTGAGGGTTGGAGGGGGGGGAGAAATTCCAATTTGGGGTCTGTTTCAGCCTCCGGGTGAGGGGCTTTGGGCGAAGGCTGGAGGGAGGTGCCGCTGGTGACGAAGAGCTGGAGGGCCTTGTTCCAGTGGGACTGCATCATGGCCTGGAACTGGCTGACCATCTCAGCCCGCTGAGCCTCCAGGCGCCAGCACCTGGCCTTGAACTCCTGCAGGTCTTCCCTCTGCTTGGAACGCCTATGCTTGTAGTCCTCGGCGAGGTGCCTCTACTGAGGTGAGTCTGGTGCTGAGGAGTCTCCTGCGCAGCGTGGCTCTCCTGCGCTACGCGGCCAGCTACTCACCTCACTGCGAAGTGACGGCAGCGGGAGGAGGAGTCGTTGTTCCTGCTGCCATGATCCTGGCCCAGGAGGGTATTTTGCTTGCGCGCATGCGCGCACAAGAAAGAGATGAGAACGAGAAAAGGGCTGAAGCTCTTCCCAGCACTGAGTTGACTGCGAAGGACGCGGAATCGCAAAAAGCAGCCGAGAGACTCATGGCTTCTTGAGGCGGACAGCATATCTTGCAACTGGGTCATCAGGGAGCCGCAGGAGAGGGGTCAAAGAGCCACATGTGGCTCTCGGGCTGCAGGTTGCTGACACCTGCGCTATATGGAATTTAAGTCTATATAATTTGATTTATGTTTAGGTCAATTTTGCTCGCATTATAAATGTATAATTCAAGATGTTTCTGAATATAATATAATATGCTCCGAATAAAATATGTAACATAATATACAGTCAGGATAAAAGCAAAACTAAAAAGCACCAGAATTCCCAGGTCCTAGCCATGCTGGCTGAAAATCCTGCCTGTTGTGTCCCATCATACCTGCTTGTA